ATAAATATGGAAGAGCAGTTGGTACTATGAATACATTTTTTCTCTAGATGAGATCACAGTTTTATTTGTAAATATTACACACATATATATAATATTACACATATAATATTATATATATATAGCATATATATCTCTAATATGGCTCAATCCTGCTCCCATTGAAGTCAATAACAAAAAAAACCCAACTTCGTGTTGGCATTGATGGGAACAAGATCCAGCCCAACATCTACAGACAGGTAAATGATTACAGAGGCCATACAATGCAAACTCCACAATGGTTCCAATTCCTCCCTCTTGAATTTCTGGAGAAAAATGTCTCATTACAGCCCTGGTTCTTTGTGCTCAGAAGATCACAATGGGTGGCTGAATTGTGACCTCATGGATTGAAAAAAAAAAAAAACGGAACCAAAAACATTTTCAGAACTGAGTTCTTTTGGCTCAAACGCAACCCTCATTAGCTCCGCCCCCCCTCCCGCCCCCACAAGGCCAGTATTGCACAGGTATAGCACCAAGACTCTCTATCTGATGCCAGTCAAGCCAACTCATGCACTTGTGCTTGGCCAGAGAGGAAGCAATTAGATTTTAACTGAATCTCAGAGTTGTAGAATGGGGCCAAAAGGGGGGGGGGGAATGGTTTGCTACAAAATATTACTACAATGAAAACATCATCCCCATCCTGGTCCCACTATACTCCACTGAGTGTTTGAAAACTGGGCTCACTGGGAAAACAAGAGCAACCCATTAGCCTTTGCATTAGTCCCTATTTGCCCTAATGAACTGGAGCTCAGAGGGAGTACAGCTTGACAGATTTGGGTCTGCTCTCAGTAAGTCCTGATCAAGCCCCCTTGAGCACAATGGTTAAACTCCATCAATGCTCAATCCAACAAGGTGCAGAACACCCTCAAATTAACGGGAATTAAGGGGGCTCAGTGCCTCTTGGAGGGACTCAGCACTTCACAGGATTGGGCCCCAGGATGGTGTAATGCGGAAGTAACTCAGTTGAAGTCAATGGAGTTACACGACTGAGATCAGAATCAGGCCATGTAACTTGAAGCTATCAAGTCTCTGCACATGGCTTTCTCCCAGCGACAGACTGAACACACCTCTAACTCTCACTGGAGTCTGTGGGAGTTTTGCAGGTGAGAAGACTGCAAGATGAGGCCTTAAGGCAAGGATTCTCAAAGCTGCCCAAGGGAGTTAGACATCAAAGTACTGGCATCTAACGCCCTTAGGAAATCCCAACCTAAGTGTCAGTTTAACCCATTCAGTCACCTCCTTGTTTTCTAGTTTGGACGCTAATGGAAATCAAGGGATGGAATCTAGGAAATGGGGAAAAGTTTAGTGCCCCTAATCCCAACTAATTGGAATTACCTGTCTGATCATTTAGCAGCTTTTCTTTTCTTTTTCTCTCTCTCTCTCTATCTTGTTGTTCTGAATTCAGACTGTGCAGTGATTTTTGAGTGCAGTAATTGGAGCACAGTGAAATACTGGATAAATGTATATGTACAGTTGGATAATGTAAAAAAGCACAAATACACATGTTAAAAAAATCTGGAAAAGATAAATGCAATGAACCCACCCACCCCCACCCTCCAAAAAACAACAATATACCAACCTCCCGCCCCCTCCCCGCAAGAAACAGAAAACATATCAAACTAGCCTTATTTCCTGGACTTGTCACAAAGCACAAGGGAAAAAAAAAAACCAACCCAAACCCCGAAAACCCTCCAGACAATGCAATAAACACTTCACTGTATTTCTAGGGAAATCTACACATAAGTGTCTAACTCTCTACTCAGTTGGCAGAATAACACACAAAACTAGGTTTTGCTCTTCTCAGGTTTGGATCATGCATTTTTTTTTCCTTTCTTTTTCCCCCTCCTCTTTCTCTTCTCTCCATAAAGTCTTGTTGTTATTTTTTCCCCCACTTGAATCAGTTGCAGCAAGAAACCGTTGTTTGGTTTTTTTTTTTTTAATATATTTTTTTTTAAACACAGGTAAAACCTAGAACAAACCGACAGTTACAACCAAGTGAAACCAAAACTGGAAGGGAGGTAGCTGGAACCTGACTCTGAACGATCCTCTGGCACAACCCTCCTGTCTCAGCCTTGGGGGGTGAGGGGCAGCAGAATGTGCAAGAAAACATGGACACCAGCGCAGTCTGTTTGGGGGTGGAGAGTAGCAGCTGATCGGGTTTTTCCACCCCGTCACGCACGATTCGCCACTTTCTGATCTAGCTCTCCCTCTTCCTAACCATGGAAGCCATCAGCAGCTGGAGCCAAGCCTGGGCAAAGGCTGCTCCAGGCGAAGATGATCGCCTCACTCAGGGCTACTGTGGGGTGGAGTGTTGGCCCCACATCTCTGGCAATCAGGCAGGTGCCACGGGACCTGCACCAAGTGAGCAGCTGCCTTCAGTGGCTTTATAACTTTTGATTTGTGCATTCGCTTGGTGGCTCGTGTCCCTCCCGCCTGATCCAATGCCCACTGACATCAATGGGAGTCTTTCCACTGATGCCAATGGGGGCTGGATTGGACTCTGAAAGAGTTAACCCCTTATACACCAAGGATTAGATTAACCTTTTCCTCAGGACCGCTGCACAAGGGAGAGGGAGGTTGGGAAAGGGCCCACTGTGGCCCCTCCACTCACCCACCTACGCACAGAGGCAAGGCACAATGGGAGTCTTGTGTTCAGGGAGCGCAAGTGGGCAGAGCTGGGAATCAGCAGCCCCCTCACGCACATGCCAACCCAGGTTTTCTTCTGGTAAACCCCATGGGAGGGAGGGAACGCTGTGCAAAACAGCGCTGACGTCCGCTGCTGGTGCTGTGGGCTCCGTGGGAGGAGATGCACCGCCTAGGCATGCCAGAGGGGAAAATAGCAGCATGGAGGTTCTGCCCTGAAGAGGGGACTGCCACTGCTGGCAGACCGGGGACTGCAGCGCTGTAATTGGCATGTGAGGCTGTGTGGGTGAGAGGCCACACCTCCTTCCACACTAGCCTCTCCCCCGAACGCAAGGAGGACTCAAATCTCTGTGAGCAGCAGCTTGCCCTATCTTCTCCGCATTGATCCCTCTCTATGCAAAAGGGGGCTATTTTGGCCCTGAGTTCTCAGGAGCTCACAACGAGCACGAGGCAAGTATGCGTCTTTGGGACTCTATGCAGGGTGGCATTATAACTGGGAAAATTATATATATTATATATATAAAATTATATATATATATAAAAACCAAACCCATATTAATACACATCACTGAAAAGTTAGAGCTGCCCCTGGCCTAGCAGCTCTTTGCTCTCTGGGAGGTGCAAGTAGGACATGGGGCACAAAGCAGAGCTCCTGCCAACCTGTCGCGGGCGTAGAGGACACAAGCCGGTCGATAACTGGGGCTTGTGAGCTCTTTTGATGACACGTGAAGCAAACCGCCAGCACGGGGGAGGGGCAATGCCACTGTCTCACATGTATTTTCGTGTGGATGGCGGCCTCAGAAGAGAGGCAAAGGACTCGAGGCTGCAAGCTGCAGGGGATCTCTGTGAGTAACCATAGCTCCCAGTCTACTCAGCTGGATTTGAGGATGCTCAAGATAAGCCCCCTGAGAGAGCCATGATGCCTGACCAATCCTTTTGTCCTTGGGAGGGCAGCAGTGAGCGCGTGCGTACAGGTGGGTGGGACGCCTGCCTGACAGCCAGGACCGGACCTGTTCTTTGAATCAATAGAGGGCTTTGGAGGTGGGACCCTTCAGCAGATGTACGACACAGTCACTGCCCCTGCCCTCCCAGATTGGAATTGTTTTGGGGCCATCCCTAGTTTAATTGCCGTAGCTTTAACGGAGTGAGTCCAGGGATGTGTTTGGCCCTTTATCTTTGGATTCTTAATCTTGACCCCAGTTTCTACAAGCCTGTTGATTTCCCATGTCGAGCCATTTTTACAGCCTCCGGCAGCTCCCCAAGTGCGCCATGGCTGGGGAAGGGAGATGCAGCCTCTGTAGAAGGCTGGGCATTGACTATACTCGACAGAAATAAAGTCTAGGTCTAGGGAGAGGTCCTAAGGCCCCTAAATCAGTGAGTGCCACTGGGATGCCCAATCTGGGCAACGAAGCATTGGGGGATTTTGGTGTCACTGAGTTGAGGAAGAATTCCTCTTCTGGCTTAAAATGTTCCCATGGATTTGAATTTTTTGCTTCCCCCCACCCCCCAAAAAATCTTTTTCCTTCCCCAGAGTCTAAAATATCAGGCAAGCAGGACAGTTCATTCTGGCTGCATTGGTTCAAGGGATTGCAGCCGGTTCTAGGATGGCTTCAAGGGGAGCCGTGGCCCTTGTGAATGCACTTAAATGAGCTGCCCAAGCTCTAAAATGCCGCGGCCATTCCCTTGTCAGGCAATGTCAGGCCCGCCTCCCGTCTGAGCCCATTTTAAAGCCCTGCAGAAGGGGGAATTAACCCTTTCAGGGAGGCATTATTGTCAACAGGAGACCTAAACTACAGGATGCCAATCCAGCCGTTAGTGTGCAGACTTTAGGGATATGTTTGGAATGGGTTGTAGCAGCAATGTCTGCACTGGCTCCACTGGGTATCAGATTGACTCGATGGGATCTGAAGCAACCAGAGGATGCTGAATCCCAATTAAGACATGACTGAGCGGCTGGTGGAAAGTGCACCTTTCCGGACCAGAACTGGAGGTGGGGAGGAAGGGGCAGATGGGAGGTGTGAGGGTAACCTCTCTTCATGCCCTTCCTTTTGGAAGATTCAAAGCAGCTGATCTCCTGCTCTGAAGTCGCTCTGTGGGATGTATTGCCCACAGGCCTGGGAATTTAACACTGACAAACTGGGTTCAAAAGTCTAATCCTGTCCCCAGCCATTCTTTCCACTTGGCTCATGCCTTTGCACTCTCTCCCTCTCCTCCGGCCTCTCCTGTGCCAATAGGAACACAAAAACGTTGTTCAATATAATATACCAAAGGGGAGGGGAGGAGGTTTAAGCAGAACCATTGGCTAGCTGGAGGTGAAGCAGCAAATCTCTTTGGCTGGCTGGTGTCCTGATTTCTTGCCCCAGTGCTGAGGAGAAAACCAGAGGGTCTGAAAGGCAGGTTGTAGGTAAGCTTTAAGGCAGATTGTTTGGTTGCTTGGGGTTGTTGTCACCCTGTCCTGACACAGTAAAGAAACTAGTTGTATGGGACATAGCAGCAGGAGTAGCAGCAGCAGACATGCTCAAACGATAAGTATGGGGGTTTGATTTACCCTCCCTATTCCCTCAGGAGCAATAATCTCCAATCCTCAGTGCCAGCCTAACTCATCAATGCCAGTCCTCAGCCCATCCACCCGCTAGCACCCTCCTTTGCTTCACCACGGGACGGTCTGCCGACCAGCAAACATTTCGGAGTTCTCCCATGTGTAGGCTGCAATTTGCAAGCTGGATGGAGGCCAGTGCAGCCGCGCAGAAAAGCCCCGTACAGTTTGCAAAGCTCCTAGCCTGGGTGTAATATTTTCATGATAAGATAATGCAACCCACTTTTCAGCCGTCTGGCCATTTGGAAAGACATTCGCCAAGATGCACGGTCCCGTGGTGAACCCATCCTAACCTCAGTTCCCTGGGCATGAGATACCTTGGCATTCAGCATCAGTATAGGCTTGGCCTGGTTTCATCCGAGAACTCAGCCTCTTCCATGAATGGTCTGAGTTATGAGCGCTGGAGAGGGGAACGTGTGTTTGCTTTGATCTCAATCTCTCTATTTATCTCTATAAATTTGTATATATATATATATGGCTTGTTTCTCGCCTTAGATCTAGATACAAACAGTTCAAATTAGGTGGGCGCACAACTGCATAAACACATGCTGTTTTGATACTTAAAAGTCTTGACTCGACTCTTTGTTTTTGCTTGTTTGTTGTTTTTGCTATTTAAGATATACTTAATACATAACCCCCCACTTTGAGTTCTCCTTGGACAAAAATTAAAGGCAGACTGGTTGAATTCTAAAGGTCCCTGGTGCAGAAATGCCATCCAGTTGAGCAGCTAAATGTTAAAGACAATACCAAAAAGGGATGTGGTGTCTCTCCGAGCCTGCCTTTAGCGGTGTGATCGTCCATTCCATGTTGCCGGACGTTACCCACGACTGAAGCTGCGTACATCCTTCTGACTGTTCTCTTGAGCGTTGGGGTCTAGGCAAGCACATTCTGCTTGTAGGTCACAGGACATAGGGAAAGGAATAACCTATGGGATAGAGGCAAAAACACAGGGAAGTGCACAAGGAAACACACTTTTCGATAGTCATGTGGATAATTTCATGCCCCTAGTCTTGAAAATCTTGGGCTAAATTCCTCGGGGCAGGCCCTGTACCCCACCCATCACTGAGCACTTAAACAATGATGAAAAGGTGCCTGGGTTTCACCAAGAGCGAGCCTTTAAACGTTTGGTGTTTTCAAAGTACAGAGGCCCAACAACTGAGTGGGTGGGAAACTTGGAAGGAATGGGAGCAGGAGATATTGCTCTGTGCAAATAAAATCTCCTCATTGTCTGTTTAAAGAAGAGCGTGCAGTAGTCGAAGTAACAGCCTGGAGTGCTTGGCTAACAGACGTTGATTTCAGCCTATTGCATCATGGCATTTACATAAAGAGAAGGGGGTGGGGGAGAGTCCTGCTTGCCTGAAGTGAATTCCCAAGAGTCTCTCCCATCTGCGCAGACAGAGTTAATGACCTAATTCCCCTCCCCCAACCCTTTCCAGGACAGTGCTGCAACCTGTTCAAATGTTCTCGGCAAGTACAGCAAGCATTTGCTCACTCTCATTCGCTTGGCTCTGCTTCCACATGTTTGCTTCCTTGTTTTATATGCACTTTTCTCCAGGCCATACAGCTCGGATCTGTCTGTTCCCTATCTGAATCCATCCATCACTGGCACATGGAAGAATGTGGACCATGCACTTACACACATAGTTACCATTTCTGTCCATGGAGCTATCCCTTCCGTACGTGTGCCTGCGTGTCTGTGTACAATGTGCCTTTCTCTTTACACACACGCACAGGGAAGATGGGTGGGTGGGGCGGGGGGGTGGGAGTCTTTATTTCACAGCGAGGCAGCCTGAGATGGGGACACAATGCAGCTCAGAAAAGAGCTCAGATAGCCAACGCCGGGCACGGATTCAAGGCTCTCCAGCACCTCCACCCAGCACATCTGACTTCACCTTCACAAACCTTAACCGTTCAGGTGGAGTCAGGACCCGGTTTGGGGTCAAACTGTGGCACTGCCCAAAGAACTGAATCAAAGACCGAGTGACTGCAACACGTGTGAAGGGAAGAGCAATGTCAAGAGTCTAAAAATAAATAAATTCAAATAATAGAAATCAGAGAATTTGTAGAAACTGGAGAAAACAGGAAGAGCTAAGAGGATACTTTGTAGCCTAAAGGTATAAGTATTTGCTAGGTAAGGCATAGGCACAAGTTAAGGCAGTAAAGCAATGAGCTTTCAGGCGTGTAAGGGTGTATTAATTATATTCATTACTTAAGAATTCCCAGTTAACACACTGAGGTTTGATAGTAAATACCTTTACCCATAGTCTACAACTTGGTCCATCCCTAAACCAGTTAGGGCAGGACTACTGCAAACTACAATGTCCCAAATATTCTGAAATGAGATGGTGGAGTCTATTGGGTAGAGTGAAGACCTGAAGTTCATTCCTGACTGCTGCTGACTCACTGTTTTGCCTTGGCCAAGCTCTTCTGTCTCTGTGTTTCAGTTATTCTCCCTGTAAACTGGGGATAATGCTCCTTTAGAGATACCATCAGTGCAACATTGTCACTCTTTGGAACTCCAGAGTCAAGAATGAGAACCCTGGAAGATGATGTCTTCAAAGAAGCATGTTACAGGTATGTAATTTCCCTGTGTGCACCTCACAGGGCTGTGCCGAAATATTGACTTTTGAACTTCCTGGCTCTCTGGAGTTCGTTACAGTTTGATGTCAGTCTGGTGTTCTTTTGAAATGAAGTCAGTGGGCCTCTCCTTATAGCCTTCCCCCCTCCATCGGCCCCTCCTTCTTTGCTTTCTAACAACAATTACAAGGACGCGTGAAATCAGAACTGGACAATCTCAGGTCTCAATACAGGGTGAAATGCAACGGCCAGCGATATACAGGAGGTCAGACTACATGACCTAATGGTCCCTTCTGGCCTTAAACTCTATCAATCTGCGGAAAGAGAATAATCCCTCTGTACCGTGAGAGCCTCTGGAGAGGGAATGTCTTCCTCTGTGTTGTCCGAAAAGAACCCTACAGTCTGCCCTATAGGATTCTATACTGAAATAGTCCAACTAGGCCAGTAGTCTGTCCCCAACAGATGCTTCAGAGGAAAGTGCAAGTTCTCTGCAGTGGAACAACATGGCTATAAGGGGACTTTCCTCCTAATCCAGTGAACGGTTGTGTTCGTCTCTTTATACCCCTTACATATTTTTATCCTATCTAATGTAATGTTCCCATTGTCTAATCTTCACCACAATGATATCTTAACAGCAGCGAGACTCCCGGGATAATTATACATTGTATAACGATGTACTGGACATTTATATGGATAAAGAGAACATCCACAGTCCTATCTGACAGGATACAAATCTTTAAATGCTCATGCTTCAGGGCGTAAGCCAATCGCTCATTGATAGGGAAGAAAAAGGCAATGAGGACAGGTAAACTCAAACACGCATGGCTAATCTCATGACTTCAGCACCAAAAGAGCAGAGGAGCAAGGCTTGCATTCTCACAGAGAAATAACAATTAAAATATATGGTTGTTCCAAGCCCCCAAGATTTTCACAAGTATTTAGGCACCTAAAGGTGCAGAAAGGCACCAAGTAGATTTCAAAAAGTTACTAGCTACCTAATTCCCACAGACATTTAAAAATCCAGCCCTAAACTCTTTGGGAGCAGAGACTATCTTCTCCTTCTGTGTTTGTACATTTCCTGACACAACAGAGGCCTGGTCCATGACTCGGGCTCCTAGGTGCTACAGCAATACAAACAAACAACATTAAGAAGAAGCTGCCTTCCATTCCTTGTTCACTGAGCCATGCTCCGGTTAGGTGCTTGAGCCCAGAAAAACACACTCTAAAATGAACTGGATTTTTTTTTCCAAATAGGTCTTTAAGGTCCCAAGTCATTAACAGAATATATGACTAGCACTGACATGTCCAAATATATGCATTTAATCTAGACATTATACATTTAAAAACAAATCTGTTTTCCTTCATTTAGCTACCAAGACCTGCGCTCCCTTATGTCTCCCCTTGCAACAGTTGATGCCTAACACCCAGGAATGCTGCTGTAGCAGGAGAAAGACAGAATGTTAAAAACTCAGGTCTTGGCTCAGTGATTGTTGTGAAACAGACAAAGATACTGTATCCACAAACAAACTGATGTAGGCAGAGAACACCACAGCCCAAGAGGGGACATGGAAAAGGGGTTAGGGGAGAGAAATGAGAGCGCATAACACATATACACACACTAGCATATGAGAGATGAGCCAGAACCAAAACCAAAGGACCGAACCACAAAGAATTCCAGGGACATATGGATCAAAACCGGAATGCTGGTCTTTGAGCCCATCTTGAATGCACACACACATGCACAAACATCTGAGAGATGGGCCAGAACCAAAAACCACAGGACGGATTAGCACAGAACTCTGGGGAATTTTGGGTCAAAATCTGTATGTTGGTTCTTGGGTCTGTCTTTAATGCACACACACAGTTAACAAAAGGAATCAAAGGCACCTTGTCCTCATCATGCACATCGGCTAAGCCTGACAAAGAGACATGGAGAACACAGAGCAAACATTATTCTGGAATTAGAGCATCCACACACAGCTATTCAAGAATCAATATTGCATTTTAAATTCACATCCCACCTTAATCCAAATTATCTTTCAAATGTAGATAAATCCTTATGTTTCTAATCCTTTTCTGAATTTTACCGAGCATTCGGTCTCAATAAAATCATGTGGCAGTGAGTTCCACATGTTAAATGATATGATGTGTAAAAACTGCTTCCTTTCATCAGTTTTAAATTTCTTGCCTTCCAGCTTCATTGGAGGGGGAGAGGACAGACAGACATAGAAAAAGAGAGAGACCACCTGTATGAGGACATTTCACCCTTTCAAACCTCTCTGTCAGCTCTGTGACACCAAGGCTCAGAGGATCTATTTGTGGTTCACAACTAGAAGTTATTTTTTGTTTGTCCCCCTTTCTTTGAGCTAAAAACTCCATATAATTTGTAGCCAACTTTACATCCATCACAGGCTATAGAAGGGATATAACCCTCTTAGAATCATAGAATATCAGGGTTGGAAGGGACCTCAGGAGGTCATCTAGTCCCACCCCCTGCTCAGAGCAGGACATAATCCCCAACCAAATCTCTGCAATCTCTGATCTAAGAGCCTTATCCAGAGCCTGCTGAAGTTAATGGGAATCTTTCTGTTGACTTCAGTAGGCTTGCGATCCGGCCCTTAATTTCTGCGCCCATATATTACATGACAGGTCCTGTTCCGACGGTGAAGAAGCATGGCCACTCTGAGTCCTAGAGGAGACAGCACAAAGACAGGAGACACTGATGTATGGCTGGGATCCAGTCAACTAAATGGACCAGAGGCAGCTTGTCCTCCTCATGGTGCAGCTACGGATTGACACACAGCTAATGCTATCCAGACTCAGATAACCCACTGAGAATCGCTGAGAAAGGACAATCTGGAGGAAACAGATGGGAATGCGTTTGAGGGTATTACTTGCCTCCTTCCCAGGGTGAAATCCCAGGCAGGTACCGAGAGGGACGGGAGAACAGTAACACAAATAGCCTGATTCTTAGCCCTCCACACCCTCTCCCCCACCCCCGCTTCACACTGTGGCTTCAATGCACTTGCGGCTGATTTACACTGGCATAAGTGCTGCTGTGGGGGTGGGGAGGAGCGTCGCATGTCGGGAAACAGCGTGTTGCTAGATAGAAGTTGAAATGTTTGCAAAATCTCCCTGATGTGACTAACTCTGGAAGTATGAAGAACCCCCACGTCCATCTCCCCTCCTATGGATAAAAGTGCTGGGTCAAGATAAGCATGGCAGGCTGCGGCAAGCCGTTCTCAGTGGCCGCTCACCTCCCCCCGGTACCCTCAGAGTTCACACACCAAGTGGGGGCTTTGTTCCCTAACAGGGCTCTTAAGCACAAACACGTCTTGTACTTTTCTTCTCTCTGGTTTTTGGCATTTAGGTCACCAGGGCTTTTCTAAGATGACGCAAAAATTGACTTTTAACTCTTTGGGCTGGTATGCTGGGTTCACTCCCAAACCAGGTCAATGCCCCCTCAGGGCCTGGGAAAGGAGAGATTAAAGTTCCTCAGAGGCCCAGTACAGGACGGTATGTAAGGTTGAGAAGGCCTGACTTGCCTCTCCCACAGTTGTACATCCAGAGCTATCCCATTGATGTTCATGGGCCTGACTCTCTTCTCACTCATCCTGATGTAAATCAAGAGTTACCCCATTGAACTCAACAGGCCCGATTCGCCTCTCATTCACCCTGGGGTGTCAATCAGGGGTAACTCCACTGAAATGAATGTAATTACATTGACATAGACCCAGCATGAGAGTAGTGTCAGGCCCTAGAGGGTATGTCTACGTGGCAAAAATTGACTTTTAACTCTTTGGGCTGGTATGCTGGGTTCACTCCCAAACCAGGTCAATGCCCCCTCAGGGCCTGGAAAAGGAGAGATTAAAGCTCCTCAGAGGCCCAAAGGACGGTATGTAAGGTTGAGGAGGCCTGACTTGCCTCTCCCACAGTTGTACATCCAGAACTATCCCATTGATGTTCATGGGCCTGACTCTCTTCTCACTCATCCTGATGTAAATCAAGAGTTACCCCATTGAACTCAACAGGCCCGATTCGCCTCTCATTCACCCTGGGGTGTCAATCAGGGGTAACTCCACTGAAATGAATGTAATTACATTGACATAGACCCAGCATGAGAGTAGTGTCAGGCCCTAGAGGGTTTGTCTACGTGGCAAAGAAAAACCCATGAGTGGCCTGTACCAGCTGACTTGGGCTCACAGGGCTCAGGCTATGGAGCTGTTGCATTGCAGTATAGACTTCCGGTCTTGGGGTGGAGCCCAAGATCTGGAATCCTCCCACCCCGCAGGGTCCGAGAGCCCGGGCTCCCACCCAAGCCTGGAAGTCTAACTGCAATGAAACAGCCCTCAGCCCGATCCCCACGAACCCAAGTCCGCTGAGACGGGCCAGCCGCAGGTGTCTAGTTGCTGTGTAGACATCCCCCTAGAGTAGGGGAGGATGAAATAAGGAGGTCAGTAACTTACTTTAATTCCCTGCTCTTCATCTGCGTTCGTAATGCTGACAGTCGAGGGGCTGAAATGAGCAAGGGAGCCAGTTTGGCAAACCACACGGAGTGTGAAAGCAAGCAGCTCTGCCGCTCCGCAATCAGCTGTGCTTCCAATCCGTGTGCTACTGATTGTGAAAACATGAATGTAATTAGTCTAAATAAGCACCAAAGATTTCAGAGCAGCCTGACCACCCAGAGGCAAATAGCTGGTGTGCAGAAAGGAAAGCCCTGTTCCTTGGTTTCTGTAACACTTGCTAATGAAGCAAGGTTGGGTGGCTGAGCAAACAGTTAGCAGCTCTCCAGGGATTGCTGTGTGTTGTGGGGTTCCCACAAACATACAGCATTTCTCATACCAACCAAGAATTTGCTCTCAGGATAGACAACACGGGCTGCAACCATCACTGCATTTAATGTATTGCTGTCTGGAAAAGGATCCTTTTGGTGTTAGGCAAACCAACTCTGAGCCCTGAAATGGCCACTCAACCACCCATGACCAAAAATGCCCTCACATGTCACACAACCACTTGCTAGCCAGGACCAAACATAACAAGTAAGCAAGTTCACCCGAATGCCTGGATAACACAGTGCACTTGGAGCACATACTAAACACTGAACCATTTCCAAACAAAGGAAGTAATGCTTTTATATTGCATCCTCTGTTCCTTCATGCACCCTATATTGTACCTCTCTAGCTAATTACAGTGAACGGGAACAGCCTGCCAGGGGCACTGGAGGTGGCATGTCAGGGAGATCCACTCTTCTGGATAAGCATCGTTTCCTCAGTGGCAGCTAGACCACTGGCTGTGTGAGCTTTCTCATACCCACGTTCTAAACACTGCCAGTTAGGACTGTTGGCTTCAGGCAGAAGAGCAGGAATAGGAACATTGAAAGAAAGCACCATGTTTCAGAGATGATCAGACTTGGGTATTTACATCTCCAGAGTACTCACAGATTGTCACTTTTACTTTTGGCCACAGAAGATGGGTAGGGATCCACTGGATCCCACTTTGGGGTGGGGGGTGGGATGGACGCACTCCTTGGAAATCAATGCTATACTACTGCAAATTAAAGCAATATGTCTGCTCAAGGCCCTTTGCTTTATGTCCTGGTTTCTTGAGTGAAGAGGCTCAGATAAGTTTCCATGGGTTTTGGATAAACAAAACGTTGGATGAACCGTGCCAGGTTCTCCATCCAGCACTATGCCTCATTTGTTTTTCACTGAGCCACTTTGTGGTTTTTTCTCCATGGTGTGCACCTGTTTCAATGGAACATCAATCGGCGGAAGATTTGGCATTCTAAATGGAGATTTGTGCCAAGGTGATGTATCCTTGGCATTAGGGCAAAGTAGTTGATGTCTAACCTGAGCTGTGAAACTGTCTGAGACAGATTCTCCTTTCAACTGCACTGCGGCTACCCTCCTTGTGATGAAGTGGAGTGGCCGGGATGTAAGTGAGAGGAGAATGTGGCACTACAAATACCGTCCAGTTTTGCGGAATTTAAAGAGCTTATTCTTCTGGGTTAGATTCGAGTTGTGTACCTTGAACAAGTTGCAGGGACTGGGATGCAGAATATTTAACACAGAGTGTCCATAATGATAGTTTAGAATGAAATATGTGACCAGGGCCCATTGAGAAATGATTTTGATCTGCACAAGTTCTTTCTTGCCATGCTTGTCAAGCGAAAACTCATAAAATGGAAAGAAACGAGGAAAGTAGTGGAGGAGAAAGGCAACTGGACAGGAGAAATCCTGGGGGAAGAAAAAAAACACACCCACAACAGGGGAGTAGTTACACTGCAAGGAGTTGTTAAAGTTCCCTAGGGAACTTTTGGAGGATCTCTGAAATTAAGTCATGGAAGACAGGTGAGATTCCAGAGGACTCAAAAAGGGCAAATATAGTGCCAATCTATAAAAAGGAGAATAAGAACAACCCAGGAATTTACAGACCAGTCAGCTTAACTTCAGTACCCAGAAAGATAATGGAGCAAATAATTAAGTAATCAATTTGCAGATACCTAGAAGATATTAAGGTGACAAGTAACAGTCAGCATGGATTTGTCAAGAACAAATCATGTCAAATCAATGTAATAGCATTCCTTGACAGAATAACAAGCCTTGTGGATAGGTGGGAAGCTGTAGAAGTGATATATCTTGGCTTTAGTAAGGCTTTTGATACTGTATTGCATGGCATTCTCATAAACAAAGTACAGATATACAACCAAGGTGGAGCTACTATCAGGTAGGTGCATAAATGGTTGGAAAACCATTCCCAGAGAGTAGTTATCAGTGGTTCACAGTCAAACTGGAAGGACATATCAAGTGGGGTCCCACAGGGATCAGTTCTGGATCCGGTTCTGTTCAATATCTTCATCAGTGATTTAGATAATGGCATAGAGAGTACACTCATAAAGTCTGTGGATGATACCAAGCTGGGGGAGGTTGCAAGTGCTTTGGAGGATAGGATTAAAAATCAAAATGATCTGGACAAACTGGAGAAATGGTCTGAAGTACATAGGATGAAATTCAATAAGGACAAATACAAAGGACTCCACTTAGGAAAGAACAATCAATTGCACACATACAAAATGGGAAATGACTGCAGAGGAAGGAGTACTGTGGAAAGGGAGCTGGGAATCACAGGGAATCACAATCTAAATAGGAGTCAAGAGTGTAACACTGTTGCAAAAAAAGCAAAGATCATTCTGGCCTACATTAACAGGAGTGTTGTAAGCAAGACACGAGAAGTAATTCTTTCACTCTACTCTGCACTGATGAAGCCTCAACTGGAGTATTGTGTCCTGTTCTGGGCGCCACCTTTCAGGAAGGATGTGGGCAAACTGGAGAAACTCCAGAGAAGAGCAACAAAAATGATGAAAGGTCTAGAAAACATGACGTGTGAGGGAATATTGAAAATATTGGATTTGTTTAGTCTGGAGAAGAGAAGATGCAGAAGGGACATGATAACAGTTTTAAAGTACATAAAAGGCTGTTACAAGGAGGAGGGAGAAAAATTGTTCTCTTTAACCTCTGAGGATAGGACAAGCGGCAATGGGCTTAAATTGCAGCAAGGGAGGTTTCGGTTGGACTTTAGGAAAAACTTCCTAACTGTCAGAGTGGTTAAGCACTGGAATAAATTGCACAGGGAGTTTGTGGAATCTCCACCATTGGAGATTTTTTAAGAGAAGATTAGACAAACACCTGTCAGGGATGGTCTAGATAACACTTAGTCCTGTCTTGAGTTCAGGCGACTGGACTGAGGTCCCTTCCAGTCCTATGATTCAATATGATTCTATAAAATGAGGGGATAGGAAAGGAACAGACACTAAATCAAAGGAGCCCTAATAGTGGGATTTGAGGCAGTCTGCTGTTGGGGCTAAATCATGCATTATCGAAGGTGAGGCTGTTGTGCGCATTTGGCCTTACATTTGGAAGGATGCCAAGAGCTTTAATGTTCGGTATTGAAAGATGCAAATAACCCCAGCAAGATGGGCGTGTGGGAAATTTCTATCACTTCCTTGTGCTGCTCCTTCGTTGGCCTCTGGGGCCTAATTTCTCCCTCAGCTCTACCCAGACATAGACCTTTCTACTTACTCCAAAGAAGTTGCACAAATGGAAGCAGGGACAGAATTTGGCCTTAATGTTTGCTGTCTGGGATCCCAGAATGCTATCAGCTTGGACTGTTACACCGACCAGGAAGTCCTTCCAGACAACAACCAGTCTAGAGATGTCCAGTAAATGCCTGGGTAGTTGCTTGTTTACTTTAACAATGTGCCATATTTTTCTAAAACATGTTTTATAAATACCTTACTTCTGTGTGTTGTGGGATGCAAAGCAAGAAGCAGTTTTATAGCGCAGCTGGGCAAAGGGCAAGCTGGCAATCTGTGCCAGGTCAGGAGGTTGCAGACATTAAAAAGAAATGAGATTTTATTTTGTCCTTAATGGAGGACCTTGTTCCTGCTGGATCCACAACAGAAGCCCTTTCTCCCTCGAGGACATGCATTGTGGTGACCTTCCTTTGGCCAAGGGGAGTTGGGTGGCCTTCCCTATGGAGTCCTTCAAACCCACTCCCGGGTCATCAATGGGGCAGGCAGCCCAGCAGTGCCCCATACTCTTTCCCTCAGGGGCTTACCATGCTGTCTGTACGTTTACCAGTCCCTACTAGACTAGAAACTGAACCTGAGTTTTAGGTGCACAACCTTTGATTGTTAACTGCCAGGCCTGTCGGCTGGTTCCATAAGGGTGCTGCAGGAAGTTGATGATTCATTAGGCAGTGCTCTTCTCCCAGAATCTTTTCCTGGGCATGGTGCTGTGGGACACTGCAGCTGATCCAGGAATGCACAACAAATCATTTATCTGACGAATGTATCCTTTCCCTGCTTACTAAATACCCATGACAGATCGCAATCGCCTCAAAATGTATTCACCTCAATATTACTGAACGTGTTCACTGAATATCGAAGTATTCCATGCAGTTCTTTCATGATTTATTTTAAACTCTGTGGACTGATGGTGAGCAGTTCTCGGCAAGTATTCACTATTGATTATTTCAGCCGAGTTGCGATTGGTCTGGTAAGTCATATGGCATTGTTTCCATTCCTTGACTGGAGGAGCGCACAAGGCCATGTTGTTCTAATAGATGTGTGGACCAATTTAAAATTTGGTTTCTGCCAATCCTTATGCATGCAAATTTAATTGCCTTTCTGTGAACTTTCACACCAGTGTAACACAATTGCGTGAACATTTGTGGAAAGTGAACAGAAAAGGGGTCAATGTTCCAGGGACTTTTTGGTGGAACCTTTTATTTCCATACTTCCCAGCTCTATGTGGTTGCTTTGCAGCTGGAGATACCACTTTTTTTGGTTTCAGAGGAACAGCCGTGTTAGTCTGTATTCGCAAAAAGAAAAGGAGTACTTGTGGCACCTTAGAGACTAACCAATTTATTTGAGCATGAGCTTTCGTGAGCTGAGCTGTAGCTCACGAAAGCTCATGCTCAAATAAATTGGTTAGTCTCTAAGGTGCCACAAGTACTCCTTTTCTTTTTGCACTTTTTTTGGAAGAGACATAAAACCAAACTTTTGACCGTTTGTGGTCAATAAAGACCTCAGTTCGCCTTCAGCATGACTGTAAACACCTGCAGCTTCAACCGGATATGCAATGATTCTTTACTTCCTTTTTAAAAACAAAATGTGGTGGCGGTGTGCACCGCTAAACACTCAGAGGTGACTATATTGCAGTGAGGACTGAAAAGAGGGGACTGTATTTCAGTGGGGACTGTAAAATGTCTTGGGATCTTTGGGGATGAAAGGTGCGGTGCAAATACACAATATTTTACTAGTCCTCTTTTAAGAGCCTTGTGAGACTGCAGTGTGTGAATTTGACACAGCAGGCAGCAGAGGTGGGTGTCTCCCTCAAATGCTTGAACACTTTCTAACAACTGCGTAGAAGTACACCATCATCTGGTACTGGAATTAAAAGAGCTGGGTTTGCCCCTCCCTATAACTCCTTCAGGTTTTGGCCTTTACACCCAAAATGTGTTTTAAGGCTGTGGTTTTTAAGTAGGTGACAAATTGTGCTGGAAGGATTTGGTATGTGGAATATTTGTATGCATCTCTCTTTTCTCTCACCTTTCATTGTTTTTCCCTTTGGAATATCTCCTTTAACATTCCACTCATAATGCTCTTCAAAGGAGGAGACTGTATTTGAATAGCTATGCCTAAAATCTGTTCTCCAGCCAAGGGCCCTTAGACCGGAAAACAACTAACTTCCCCATATGGCTGAGTGTCTGCATGGGAATTCAAACAGGTGTCTGTGAGCTGGTGGCCATTCCTTTGAACTGCATGAGACACACTGCTGGCCTCAAACGACCCTTTTCCTCTGAAACTTTTACATCATGCTATGTGCCTGGCTGCTAGATTATTATGCCATAAATTTAATAAACTAGGCACTGGCCATCTCACTTTTGATTTGAAGAGCCTAGGACTTGGTTGGTTTTCTCATTTCTTTTGTGTGTTTTGTTTGGTTTCTGGGTTCTTGTTGTTGTGTTTTAAAAGTCTTTGAAAGCTGAGTGCATGTGTCTGGAGAAAACACTTCATTTGAGGAGTTGGCCCTTGTGAATGATTAGGAAATACTGAGGATGGGATTTTCAAAAGCCCTCAGTGTTGGCCAACTCTGTTTCCATTGAAGATAATGGTAAAACTCCCACAAAAGTCAATGGGAACAGAGCCAGGCCAATGCATAGCAATTTGCAACCTCTCTTCCCTCCCCTCTTAGTATCTTATATGGAATAAGTTTGGAGGTCTTAGTCCAGTTCCTTGTGGAGAGGTACCCCCTCTTAAACCTACTGCCACATTTGTTGGGCTATACCAGTGGAGAGGCCAATGACTGACTAGGCCATGGAAACTGAACACTCCCTTACATCCCAAGAGGTGGCCCGTTCAGTTAAGGGTTGAGGGATCTCAATTGGGAAGCAATTGCCCATGATATCCTCGATCATGCCCATGCCACCGCCCAGGCAATATGTGATTTGTGACTAAAGAGAGAACTTCCCTTGCCAGGGCTGCCCCTTTGCCTGAACAGTTCACACAAATCATTTTAAAAACAAAGATATATCGAATATCTGAAAAGAGGCACTATTAGGAAAATTAAAGCACTACCCCCATCCCTTCTCTGCTGCTACCAAGAGATGACATTAACCTATCACCAGTCATTGCTCACTGCCCCTTTCCAATGATTCCTGATATACCAGAGACATGCCACAGCACAGAATTAGTAGACATGGCCAAATGAACCAAAGGAGAGATGAAAAAAGACCCTCATGCTGAGGGCCAGCTTAGAAAAGACTGTGTTCCCTGCAGAGACATCCTCTTTGTCCTCCAGGTATGGTATACAGACTGCCTTTCCTTAGACAGGTATGACTGGCCTTCTTGAAACACACTAAGCCTAGCATACTTCCATCTAAGATACCTCCCTTGTTAGTATCAAGATTTTTGGCTTTCTGTCCCAACCACAAATCCCAAAGAAGAGGTAAAGAGCTGTGCAAAATTCAATACGTAAGCATGAACACATGTGGCTAAATTCTCTGTCAGTCCCTTAGTGAGTGACCTTGGAATCTACACTGTATGCAGCAGATCCTCCTTTCAGTGTGCCTGTCTGTAATTCCCACAAGAGTCAGGGTCAGAACTGACGTCGGACCGCTTTACTGATGACACGCCAAACCAGTCTCGAGGGGGCGCCAGCAGTTGTCTGTAAAGCAGCCAGGGAACCATTGGTTTAGAACAAGAATGAAGGAGGTAAAGCAATATCCCTGTGTAACAACACCTGCTGTACGGGCCTAAGGCAGACTATGATGGGAAACACAAAGGCAGACCAAAGGAGAATGAGAGCACTTTCAAATGAACCAGCAGAAATTCAGTGCCTTTGGTAGGACAATGTTCATTGCCCCTGGAAATGTTTGTGCAGCTGAAGATCTCTCCACATCCTGGATCTCCAGCTGGACACCAATTACTGTCCAAGCCTAAGCCTGCATTGTTGGGGAGCTCTGGGTAAGAGAGGGGAAGGCAGACCTACCTTTTTGGTCTTGACCGTTGAGGTGCAGCAGTCCCCTCCATCATAGTTGCAGAAGGCTCGGTTATTGATGGCATCACAGTAGTTGTCCCCCATAAAAGGCTAAAAAATAAACAGCATGAAGAGGCTGAGAATATGGATACAGTCCTCAGTGAAGGATCTAGCACTACTGTTGGTAGTGCCAGACACATCCTCTTTAAAAGCCATGGCCATGTTCATAAGTATTCTAAAAAGACACCACAAAGCAGCTTAAACCCAGACTTATATTACTGTTGCAAATTTAAATATTCTTTTGAAATGTTGGACACCCAAACATAACAACGCTGTACCCATGTAGGAAAATCTGGAAGTAAAATTGGCTAGTCTAGTTTCACCTTCCAAATGAGCTTTGTGCAAAGAGTAAACAAAAAGCATAACTGGTGGTAAGAAAATTAGAATTGTTGGGCAAGATGTCTACTTGGTGTAAATGGGCTTAACGCATTGACTCTCATTGAGCTATCGTGATTTACACTAGCACTGGCTTTGGTCCATAAAAGCTTTTCTGTTTTATTTATTTAATGTGCTAATAGTTATACAGGCAAGGGCTTTTTTTTAAAAAAAGATATGATTTTATTTCGATAAGGTCACTTTAAAAATATGTAATATTTGGGCAATCTCCCAATAAACCTGCCAATCCATTTACTTATTCGACACACCTTTCCACCCTGGAAAGCTGTCAATAGGGACTTTTTGAGGAGTATGCCTTTTACCTCCATTGTAATACATAAGAATAGGGGGCCTGTCTGGAGGGACAGAATGGGAAAGATAATAAATATTTTGCTTTGGTAAGAACATTCTCGGTTGAATCATCTGGGGGGACTGAACCGAGACCTCTGTATTTAAAACCATGTGCCTTTACTGCTTGAGCTAAAAGACCAGGTCTACTAGTTCAGCTGCAGGGGTAGACTCATAAAACCTCTATACATGCCACTAGAAGGGGACAAAAAGTCACACTGCATTAGCCTGGGTTACACTTTGAAAAGCAAAGTCAAGGAAATCATCTTCTTAGAGCCTTTACACAGGTAAAGCTCCCATTGCTATCAATGCAGGATCATGTTATTACTGGCTTAGAACACTGCCTCCCCATGGCCTGGGATAATGGGAAAGGTTGCTCAACCCCCTCCATGCAGGAAGGAGGGGACTCCATACTGAGTGTTTCCTCCATAGCCCTATGCTGGAGAACATGGCCTGGCCCATTCTTGGCTAACGCCCTACATATTGGAAGGATCATTCTCTGCATAGATGACATGTTTTATGCAGTAGCCCACAACCAATAGCATGGTAAAGATTTCGATGGAGAGGCTATGACACTGCTGAAAGAATGATGATGAAGAAGGTTTCTATTGACACAGAGGGATCCTGGCAATTAGCAATGATGAGAAAGAAAAAGCAGAAAAAAGGCACGTCAGTAATAATAGCTTCTGGTAAATCATTACATCATTTCAAAGTCTGCCTGAGTAAGAATGCTTCTTAAATAGCAGAGGAGTTGGTACCCAATGATTCATCAGCACATAACTGGCATTTCTTAATGGTCCCTGGATGTTGTTTAGCTCTCTCTAGAGAATAGAGGATGAGCCAGTAGACACCAGAGCCCTGGAGAACTCCTGAATCATGAAGCGTCCAGGATTGAGAGACAAAGTAGGTCTGATGCTGCCTGGTACGCTATTGGCGTAGGGCCGATGTGGTCAGTACTGGACTCAATGGATGCCCATGACCACAACCAGCGTTGACAGTACTGGGCTTCACTGCCCTCGGTGCTGGGCCAGGGAGTGGCTGGACAGACCTGCTCACTCCCACATGCCTGTGCTGGTCAGCACTCCTCTTAGAAGAGGAGGAGGAGGAGTCTCCCTGAGCCCTGGAATGGTCCTGTTTTGTTTTATGGGACCTTTTCCTCGCTGACCAAAGGAGGATGAACAACCCTTTTCCGCTTGGGGCAAACACCAGAGCCTGAATGCGGAATGGCATCACCTGCCAGGTCCGAAGGCGGCTGCTCAGCAGATGAGGGCCTCAGTGCTGAAGCGGGCCTCGTGGCCTGCTCCAGGAGATACTGCTTAAACAGCAGATCTCACGCCATCAGGGTCCTCTTTGGGAATGACTTGCAGATGGAGCCACTGTCTTTAACGTGTCCCTCGTTAAAGTGGGAGTCGATGCTGGGGATGCCCCCCCTACACACTGGACAACTGGTGAGGGCATCAAACAAGTCAGCCAAGTAGTCTAGCTAAAATTAAACTAACGCTTAACTAAACCTAAGGTACTCCTACTATTATATACAAGCAACAGTTCTCAGAAAATGAGATGAAATTGTGAGGT